GTTTGAAAGCAGCGTAAAGAGCCATGAACGGACTATGACAGTGTGTCCTGCTCACATTAGCAACTGTGGACAGCTGTTTCGCCCTTTTGGGGCTCGTCAGCACAGTGTAGCTAATGGACAAGGTGCACATCCAGATATTTATATGACGACAAAGTAGGATGCGGATGTGGGACACATCCGTTCATGGCTCTTTACGCTGCTTTCAAACTACGACATGTAGTACGCATGCGTATTCGAGATATGACTTACTTTGTCACTTTTATAATATTTTGTGTGTCCCACATCCGCATCCTACTTTGTCGTCATATATATATATATATATAATATATATATATATATATATATATAATAATAATAACAGTAATAATAGTAACTATATATATATAATAACTATATATATATATATATATATATATATATATATATATATATATATATATATATATATATATATATATATATATATATATATATATATATACATTTAATTTATTATTTGTTTTTTTTTCTTCAGGGTCACGTGGTGAGAAAGGAGCGAAAGGTAAATTTGGAAAGTTTTCATATACTCTAAATTATACAATATTACTCATGTTACATATGACGTTTTTGTTTAGTTGCTGCACTACCGCTAGTCTATAGTTTTGTAATGGCAGACCTTGAATCTTCGTTATCAAATGCTCTTTTAATGTAATTGAAAGGATATAATTGTAATTGTGTATTTCCCACTTTTCACTCCCGAAACACGTCCTCCAATGGAATGAAAAATGCAGATTTACAGTAATTAAAACAATTATTATGATTATCGGGGAATATTCGCCGAGACGAAGTCGTGATGAATATTCCCCGATAATCACCGAGCCTGAGGCGAATAATTGTTTTAGTATTTTACACAAGTCTTGTGTATTTTGAGACTGAATTTATTTTAATTTCGCTTATTTTTTTATCCGTGATTTCAGCAAAGCGCGGCTAGTCGCCATTTTGTTTTTACTGTTCAAGATAACGAATTTACCAATCACTACGTCGGATTTCTTATATTCACTTGTGTAAAAATGTCAATAAGCAAGTAGTTACAACATAAGGATTTCACCAACACGGAAAGTCGGAATATTAATATAATTAATTATATCTTAAGCCTTCACCCTATATTATAGCCTGGTTTCCATATGGTCGTAATGGTCGTATAAAGATTGAGTCACGATATTTCTCATCAGCCCAAATAGAATACTCATGATTTATATCTGGTTTACAGGTATATAAACTATTATAAACTGGCCGTTGAGAAAGATCGTGACTCTATTTTTACGACTATTACGACCATATGGAAACGGCAATTGCTAGATAGTATACTTCAAAATAAGGTTTCCGTTTTTATATCAATTTTAAAATAAGTTAGGGTTAGGCTAGGGTTAGGTTAGGGTTAGGGTTAGTATAGCGTGATGAGACGGAATTTTCGAGTTTAGCAATTCCACATTCCCAAGAGTAATTGCATGGCAACACGCAAAAATTTACGTTGGAAATTACACATAAAGTTCCGTATTAAATTTAAAACTGAACATTTCGTATTCTATGTCACACTTTGAAAAACATGAAGAACAAAAAGTTCTGTATTACACAAACAAAAAGTGAAAGAATTCCCTATTCCAAAATTCAACCTCATCCCCTGAATAAGACTGGTTTCCGTATCTGAAGGTGATAGCTATAGATAGACTTCAACATAAGGTTTCCGTTTTTATAACGTAGAAAAAACTATCCTAACGCAAAACTAAACCCTAACCCGACCCTATATCGTATACGGCTGTGAAATTTACACATTGCAATCGCCAAAATGTTGGATAAATTGGGCAAAATGTGTTTTGTCCCTTGTGTGATTGATTGAGTGTTTGATTGCACTCCACCACCTATAAAGCACGAGCAGCGTTCTATGCACTGGAAGATAGCACTGGAAAGACTTTCTTAAGTTTAATTATTGTAATATCCGATCGCTTAAGCCCGCGCATTCAAAGATATCTCAGTTCTACCTTGCAAGAACCAACCTCTGTTTTGAGAGGGCACGCACCAGTCTTATTTGTATATTTGCTTACATGCATGCTTCTTTTATATGGCTGGATTTCGCAAATGACGGAAACGTAACTCGATAAGAAAACGCAAAACGAAAAAATGCGCATGCATGCATGTACTGAAGAAGAATTCGATAAACTTCGTCATCGCAAAGTATACATAAGCTAGTCAGAACAAAAACAAATTCAAGAGTAAAATATTTATCTAAAAGGGAATAATAACGTTTTGTTTCCTGCCTATGCTTGCGTAGGCATTGGAAATTAGTCACTACATGTGTATAGCCAGTGAAAAGAATGAGTAAAATATAATATAGAAGAATGTAAAGCATTTGTAGACCACCCTTGAATCTTATTTCCTGATGGCAAATGTAGCTATTATTATTAAAATTTATCAAACCATGTGAAAGTCAACCAATCTGATTTACTTTCATCAAGTCTTCTTTGTTAAACAAATATACAAGCTAATTAAATATGTATTATATTTTGCCTGTGGTTTTGGATATTTTTCAAACACTACAATAGTGCATATTTCACATATATAGAGGATATTGTTCATATGGATATATGCATGTGCGGAAACGATTATCTAAGTTGATTGATTAACGAACTGCTATATTGTTAGTTTATACTTAAATCTAACTGTATATAATACTATATGTATACAAAAATTAGCATGTAATTACATGACGCTTTCAGACATTTTTTAGCACTTGAAAACAATTGTCTGTCGGCATTTTCACCTTTCACATGTTTATAAGAATTTTTGGCGCAAAAAAATATTTATCAATATTTATCTCATTTTTAATCTTAACTAATTAGCACCATTGTAATTCACCATAGAAACAAGTGGATTAAAAAAGGCAAAACAGGGCCAATATAATGATACGCATATTATCGACAATTTATTAAATATTCATGCATTGTAGTCTTAATAACATATTCATGTACTGCATACAATGCCAATGGGTACTGCGATTTAATAATACATTCAAATTAAGATTGGCGAGTTGATGAAGAACACCAACACAAATACATATAAAATGTCACATTGACATTGTACGAGTGCAAATGATGACGGTGGCATGGTGTACGTTGGTAAAAAAGGAATATAAATGCCAAACACTATTATGAGGTTTTGATTTAAGAGAATAACCTTGGGCAATTAAGGCAACCCTACTACACACTTGTTCTCACGTTGAGATATTTTGTATTGTTCAAAAAGTCTTTATTCATGTTTAACCATCCTTGAAATTCGTAAAGCCACGTACCTCACCACTGCAATTCGTATAGAGACCTCATCTGACAAGGACACTAACTAGAAATAGCCGTATATAATTATTACACTCAGCAAATCCTAGTTCTTTACCACGACAATTAAGCAGCGTCTGATTAAATCAAAACAAAATTTAATCAAAACAAAATTTTCGTATAACTAAATTATTATCACCGTATTAATACACGTCTAAAATTTTCACACGAAACTGGAGAATAATAAAATCCCTTAATTATTATTAAATTCTAATGCCGCTAATTAAGCCTTTGTGCTTTCTTTCCTGTGATTTGTTTTCTATTTATAACAATATAAGCAATATACGTATTGAAAGTTAATATAGTATAATATAACAATACCACCGGTAAACATGTACTAAATGCTGCACATTTGTACTTGCGTTTTGATTACTGCATAATCATTTAAGCGGATTAATTTTCGCACATGTTTAATTTTAAGAGGTAAGTAGATTAGCATCTTTGAAATTTTGGCGGGAATTCGACAGCAAATCAAATTGCAAGGATCTCTGGGATCTCTTCTGTTCCCGATGATAAAAAATAAGTGGAAGATATTATTTTCTTATAGACATGAACAAAATCAATGTTATATGGGATTTTTAAAGATTAACTCTTCCGGAAATGTTTTTCTCAAAAGATTCAAGATTCACACTGATGAATTCCATAAGTTATATGCTCTAAATTTCATTTTTTGTCACAGTAAAACCGTCGAACTTCTTCCCTGTAGATACCGCCAGGTAATAGTTTATAATATATTGATTTAAGACAATTTGTACTATTAATTTAAAATACATTTATTTTCTTTGCAGGCAAGAGAGGAAAAGATGGAAAAGAAGGTATATATAAATGTATCTTTTATGCAATTTATCCCATTATATTTGTCAATTCAGCATCGAACGACACTATAGTTCTGCGAGTGTTATGGAACCAGTATTGTTCGATGCTGAATTAATATAAACGAGTATGTTTACGATTTCCAGTCCTCAATCGGACCTGACCGTGTACAATCTGCAGACATGCATGTTTCGGCGTCCTACGCCTCATCAGTGCAGCTTGGTACACATCTAGGCACGCGATGACTTTCGTATTGATATGCATGTAACTAGTAATTGCTGTCACAAGCGCTGAAGCGCATGTGGTACAGCACGGCGGGCCATCAACGCAAACAGACATGCGCAGATTCTCATGGGGCCAGAGTGCTCAAACAACCACGAGGGAAGTGAGTTTTGCATTATTGCTAATGGACACCCAATGTATTTTAGACAACGCGTTAGTCCCAATTATAAGGATAACAGGATAATTTATTGTACAAGATCAGAAGAAATTTTCGCAATTTGAAAAATTGTTAAATATGTATTTTAAAAGATTCTGCATAGAATTCATTATCTTAGACAATCATATCCATAAAAGAACCTACTGTGCCTAGTTTTACAATGCAATCTGAATAACATACCCGTATGGTAAACTGCATGTGTGTACATATTAGCAATAACATTAAGGTAAAAAATAAGGTTATAATTATAGAAGCTTTGCCAAGTCAATATACGTGGTATTTCCACAAAACAAAATAATTAAAATTCAGGTAACTGTTTCGTGGTGCGGGGAAAAACTATAGTGCTATTTTCCAAATCTTTCGATCCGTAACATAAATCTGACGAAGATCGGGACTTAGAAATCAGAAGGTTTGCGGAACAATAAACGTGTTGTTTTTTTCACAAAAACAGAAAAACAACCTTTCTCCTGTCTGGCTTACCGAATGATCGAGCGTATTCCATTACACAGCAGGAAACCACACCTTTTGTGCAATATTTGCATACTTTATAAAATGACCATGTTTGCGGTTTCTTAGACCGCTCTGGCGGCAACAACGTTGACATTTTAGCTGCCGTTTTGTTTGTTATGGGAAAAAATAAAGCTCATTTTCAGAGATCGATTGTACCAATGCTGACAATTAGCTACTTTAATATCCGAACGTACTAGCTTTTTGTAAAAACAAATATTTCACGTTAGTATTTGATTACGCCGGTAAAATTCGTAATAAACCGGTTAATTAATATACGTAATTAACCAAACATATGCCATTTTACCGAAAGTATATAGTTCTTGGTTTAACAAATGATGTCCAATTATGAATTATACATATCTGCATGAGGTATGCCTACCACTACGTTTTAATAAAAAAGGGGGAAATAAACAGATAAACAGTTTAACTGGTATTGGTAAACAAAACCCAAAATCTCTGCATTTGGGTTACAGTTAGCTTGCAACACGACTTTAACTCAACTCTAACCCTCAACTTAAGACTTAACTGGAACGACTTTACGTTTTCTTAGTCCGACCGAAATATTTCAAATATTTCTGTATTCGAGATTGAAATGCCATCCATAACAAGAACAAAACATGTCTATATCTTACCGTTCGATGTAAAATTTAAAATTTTGGTTTTTAATCCTACAATTTCACTTGGCAAAGTCAAAGATTAGATATCGTGCAAATTCATTTGATTGCATGAAATGTCAATATTTTGCCATAAGGACGTGCGTCATTGTTTGTCTTCTAAGGCTATGGAGCTAGTGAGCTTCGAAACGTTCCATTATACTTCCACAGGGTGCCATGCGTTTGTATGTTGCATGATTCTTTTATGTCGAACGATCAAATGTATATGTTAAATATACTTGTTACTTGAGTTTTGAATACAAGTCAGCGAAGAAATTAGTTCTTCCTCCTTTCAGTGAAATCTGCTTGAGTGGCCCAAGAGCAACGAACGGTAATATATAAAAAATATATATATATATATATATATATATATATATATATATATATATATATATATATATATATATATATATATATATATATATATATATATATATATATATATATATATATATATATATATCGGCTCAAGTTTATATTTCAATATTACGCCTTAACGGATTTGATATGAGAAACAAAGCCCAGCTTCTCGTCATTTTTCTTGGGAATTTCGTATCTAAGCTACAAGCAATTGTAGCGAAAATGAACTTTTCCCACGCAGAAAAGCGTTGGTATATTTGCATAATGGTATTTGCTAAATTAGCACTGGAATTCAAATATTTGTTCTTAGACAGGAAAGAACAATATTTATTACTCTAAAGAATCGTCGTTCTTCCTGTTTTTTGATAGTACTGATATAAAATAGAACTTTGAACAGAGGAATATCATTCAATGATAGTGCGTGGGAAATGTACACCAATGTTTACGTTATATATTACAAACAAAATTCAAAATGATCAAATAAGATATTCAGTACGACAGTAGTTTATTTATAGCGAAATTTGATTGTCACATTACGTAATAAATTACTAAAACCGTTCATATTAAATTTCAGTTTTAAGAAAGTCCTTAAACTTTGAATTGTCATTGTGGTTGTTGTCTGTCAAAGTAATCAACTGTTCAATTTTTATAATTCAATTTTCATGTTTATAAAGTCACAATGGGTCTGGCCTTTCGTTAATTAAAAAGAAAGATAAACTGGGTTTTGGAAAGATAAACTGGGATTTGATGATTCGAATAGAACATATTAAAATAGTTAATAGCTCCGCTCTTTATTTAGACTTTTAGTTTTCGAGGTCTAACAAAAAAGGTTGAGCCATCTAGATGCCTAGATCCGATTTCATAATGCCGTAATTTATGTATACTGTAGTGCAACAAACAACAACAATTATATCATCACCATATGAATGAACTAGACGTTACTATCGCAAGGAAGTGCTGCCTTACGACCACCGGTTTTATGAGATATTTTTCCCGGATCCCGTCCCCACGTAAACCGCCACTCTGAGCTGAAATCTCCAAAACTAAAAATCTAAACAAAAAACGGAGACAGAACTTATTAACTATTTTTTATGGTCTTTTCAAATCACGAAGAACCCAATTTAGATTTAAAATCAAAATTAGTTTACACGCGTGCGTTTTTACATTTACAGGTAAACTACGTGAAGCGTTCCTCTTTTGACTTTATACATTGATTGCAACCCTTGCAAATCCCTTGAAGGAATTTTCAGTGTTGCTAAAAGCCGATTAAATTTCCTAACAGGAAGTTCCTAACTTCCTGTTCTGTTCTGTTCTGCACGTTGCAATTGGCTAACAAAAATAATCCACCAATGACAATGCTCAGAACAGAACAGGAAGTCAGGAAATTAAAACAGGAAGTTAGGAATATTTAAAACGAAGCTTTTTGCATTGGAATATTGCAACAGCCGATGGGAACATTGCAAATTCCCTGAAGGGATTTGCAAGCAGTTTTTCAAATTTGCAAACCTAATGAGGAAAATTCCAAATGAGTTAGGAAGTCAAAAGAGGAACGCTTCGCGTAGTTTACCTGTAATGGTAAACAAAACTTTTACCACCTTGTACATAGTAATTGCTCCACTAATTGATAATTGTATTTAATTGTATACTGTTAAAACCTTAATAGAAGTGTTGATTGAGTAATCCTAATGGATCCATATCAAGTCAACATTTCTCATCACGTAAAATTCCGGTGCAGAATTTGGTATTATTCTGTCAGCAAAGGTTTCGATTTAGAAATACGAATGGTTTATTATATGCACCTAAAACAGCGAAGTGAAGCGCAAAATAATATTATGGCCATCTTACTTGGCATATTTGATCCTTGAGTAATAATATTTTGGGTGTTAGGTTTCAGTGTAATCAGTGTAAACCTGAACGATATGCACGAGATTGGTTGGAGAATCCAATAACTCTGGGCCTGAAAAGTATAGAAAGCGTGTGGAATTCAGTAATGAAGCCTATAAAAGATAATGTTTACAACATCAGCGGCCATTTTGTATCAAAAAGTAACAGATTGATCATTTATACGTGTACAATACTGTACATGTGACGCAAACTTGATTGTTGGGTACTGAAACATTAATTATTCATGATTTCAGAAAATAAAAGACTTTTCATTTCAATTTATTGTTCTATAAGTTATTGATGATAGTTTTAAATAAAAACGATAATATGAAATTCATGTTCAGATCTTTCCCTAGTCAGTGCTACTAATTTTTATAACTTTTCAATTGTAACACCTGTACTGAGAGCACTTTTGCATTTTATAGGAAGTAGAGGTTCTACTGGAACCAAAGGTCTTAAAGGTAAGATGATGTATTAAAAAAGTCAGACACGTTTTTCTTAATATGCTGCTAACGGTGCAACCTTTTTTAGTGATGCTGGTAATCGGAAAGTCAGTGGGGGTCAGCCTAGTCCCAGGCGTTCCGAAGCAAGCGCGAGAAAAAAGTGGATGTAGTACGAGACTGGGACCTAGGTGTGACGTCACCGCTCAAGGTGCTTCAGAACGCCTAGCAGATTTCAGTATTTTTAATATGGCGGAAAATTTATATATACAAGTAACCTTTTAATTATAAATACGACAATGTTCGTTCATCATGTACATGTTCGATGTCTACATAACCAAATCAAACTGTATTAAAATGTGCTCAACTAAAAAAATTTATATACAAATTTACGATACTGAGTTTGAGCAATCGTTGATGTTATTTATATACTCGCAAGTTGTGATCAACACTAGACCATACTGGTATACACAACTACGCTTTCTACTTGACAGGTTTAAATTGCTGAGGAGATTGGAAATATTTGCCTGACATGACGGTGTTGTCAAAACATTTTTAGTCGGAGACTCGGCATAATTTTCAAGCTTCTAGATAGCATTTAATATGTATAGGTTATTTTGAGGCAACGAGGGGATATGTGATTTATTCACCGAGGCGCGCAGCGCCGAGGTGAATAAACACATATCCCCGAGGTGCCTCAAAATAACGTACTTATTTTTCACACTGCGAGGTCGCGTTAATGAGACAGAATAGAAATAATTCCTAATGCCATATTGCCTTCGTTATGTTGTTTTTTTCTCATTTTTTGTGCTGCAAAGACATTGCAGGTGAATATTAGAGGGGATTATTAATTGCAGGTGAATATTAGAGGGGATTATTAAACGGAAATTGATTAGAGGGGAATATTGAATATATTCCCCGACAAGAACAAAGGAAACCGAGCAGGGTGAAAAATAAGGCTTTATATTTTAGTAAACACGAGTCATATTTAGCCCGTTATTCCATTTTGACCGTATGGTAGCGAAACGTAGCCTATTTCATTGTTCCAACAGCATTAGAGCAAAACTAATGACTTAATTATAAACGCAAAGGAAATTTCCATAACATTTTCTATTTACAAATGCGGTATGCTTGGTAACCAGGCCAGGGACCACTTTTTTGAAATCAGGGACCATTTTACCGAAATCTGCTAGGCTCTCTTGCTGAAGCGTTCCGCACAGCACACCCAGGCATAAAACGTTTAAGACTTTTTAAATATATCAAAGCAGCGAATAGAGAGAGAGCCTGGGACTAGGCTGCTTCTTAGTAATCTTTTGACATACTAGTTCACCACTCGCACACAGTGAATGAGAAATCTTGATTATATATTCTTATCAAGTCATCCTTGTAACACTGCTGGACCCGGGTTTTACACACAGACATATCAGTGGTTTTACCCCCTATCACGAAAACACCATTCACCAAACGGCAATATTTTATTCATTTTGAAGGTAAATCTGGCGATTTGTGTAAGTTAACGCCTCATACAATTGCTAAAATTAGTGAATATTGCAAAAAGTGGATTGATCTGGATGGCGAACAAAGCACGATCGCAGCAAATATTGCCGAACGTATAAAACGTTGGTCATTCCATTCGGAAACGGAGCTAGTGCGAGATGAAATTGCACGGAAATTGCAAACTTGTGATATCACAAAGAGTGCTATGTTCGTTTTTGTGATAAAACAAAAATCGAAAGAGCCAAGAAAAGAATAATCAAGAAAAGGCAATGACTGTCGATGCATCCACAAAAGGTGAACCGAGCACTCCTGTTGCTAACCGACCGGCACCTGTACATGTATGTATATCACCCCGAACATTGATTAGCAGTAGTGAGGGAATTACCAGAAGAAACAGGCACGTCCTACCAGAACAATGCATAATTTGTAAGAGACAGGAAATGTACAAGGTGGACAAGGTACTGTAAAGATAACATTATTATTATTATTTTCAAACCTTTCAAACCACTAATTAATTAGTTACAATTATTTTGTAGGCTACTAGAAAAATAAAAATAGATAATCTGGTTCTGGTGGAAACCTTTGACGGAGGTCTTTAAGGGAGGCTGCAGAAAAGAAAAAGGAGTCAATTTTAGCACAAATCAGAGGTAAAGACTGTGTTGCTATAGAAGTATGTTACCACTGGCATATTGCCATTTGGATTACTGCAGATTCTTAACTCGAAAATTGACAGTTAGTGCAGCTTGATTGGTATAGTTCATCATTTGGCTTACTGCCTTCTGTTAGAAAATAATTGACGAAAAGCTGCTTAAGAAAAAACAAATAATGAGAATGAGGGTATTACATGAGATCTTTGTGCAG